AAATTTTTTCGCCGAAGCACTGAAACTACTTTCATCCGTTTCAGCTGTTTTTGGATTAAAAACATTTTTGCGCTTTTTTGTTCTCGACTTACGTATGTTAAGAGATTTTCTGATTTCTCTGGAAGCCTTCATTTTCACAAAAAATTACACAAAAAATATGAACAAACTCACAAGTTTACTGCTTGGCTTTGTTGTTTATACTGACTACCACTCTTAAATATTTTCCAGTTTGGGGTTAGAAAAATACAAATTTACATTTCAGGTATAGCAAAACACTAACACACTGTTGCTTTACACTACACATCTAAATACATTAGAAGGGAAAATTTACAATAGGCAGGTGCATAAAAGGGATAGCGTTCCAGGTAGTCGCTGCCACTCCGACCTTGTACTTCCAAGCACTCTGAAACGCCTTTTCAAATTAGCTTGTAACTTTGAAAATATTCACCAGAACGATATGAAATTTTCTGTGTGTATTCTTAAATATATGTACATTAAGAAAATAAAATTAAAAAAAAATCGATTTTTTGAAAATTCTAACTGTATATAACTCCTTAAATCACGTTTAAAAAAAAAAAGAAAAAACAAATAATTTCAAACGATGAAATATATGAATATTATTATTGAAACAAAAGAAAAAAGAAAACGAAACTTTCGTTAATATTGCAAGTAGAATGAAAAAAAAAAGAAAAGAAAAAATAATAAGTTATTAAAAAATAAATACAATTAAATAATTAAGTGGTAATATAAGTAAAAATGTGTACGTGTACATTATTCATATGTAGATATGTGGGAAATCCGGTGACCGCGGGCCGAATGACTAGTTACTGACCACCGTAACGACCAATGAGGAAGCCGGACATGACAAGGGATTTCACCTTTTTTATTTGTGATCTCTCAGAACAGATTTTATTCAACAAGATACAGAATTTATACACACACGCACAATGAGATACAGAATGATAAATTGATATGGAAGAGAGAGCAAGCGCAGTCGACTGATAAGCTTGGCGATTGATATCGAACTCCTGTCGAGAAATCCGTTGGATCGATGATCTCCGAGAAGCGAGGAGATGATCTGGGATGTTCGTCACTAGGCCCGACCAATCAGATTCCCAGGTGCAATTACGCCGCGAGTTCTGACCAATCGGCCGCCTCTACATCATGGTTTAGTTACAAAGCCGAGGCAGAAAGTGTCGCTGCAAGACACGCACACCTCTGGTAGTTTTTGGGTACGTCTGCCGAACTTGGCGCTGGCAGCCGCGAGATGTCGGCACCGTCCTGGTGCATGTAGAGGGTTTCTCTATAATAAAGATAATATTAGACTGAATTTTATTTTATGATTTTTATTTAAAGGATGCGACTTGCTTTTCTTTCTTGTACACTTCTCAACGGCTACGCACAGACTCTTCTAGTCTGGTGACCACTACTTGTTAGCGTGGTTCCCTAGCCTTCTAGTAACTTCAGAGGGCGCAACCTTCGGTCGTACCGCTACATGCAAGACATCGGACCTACCGATAGTCAACCATGGGGTGTCAGCACCAAGCAGATGCGGTGTGGGGAACTAGGTCAACGGAAAAGGTTGATCTGGAGATTTATGCGAAAGTCGTCAATTTAAGTAACAAAAATATATAAATTTATTAACAAGATACAACCAAACTTTTGGACGCCATATATAGGACTAACTTAAATTTCGACCGTTACGTTCAACTTGGGTTTAGTTAGTCTAGTACCCACATAGGGAGGAAGGGCGCCAGTGTGCCGTATCGATACACCAGGCACGCATCGCCACATGCGGGACGCCACACATCCATGTAATAGGGACATTTTCGTTTGTTTAGTTTATATTAAAAAGTTCTTATTTTGTCTATAACCTATCGTTGCAATCGTAGAACTATAGAAATATACAAAAATGAATATAAACATATAAAAAAATCGAGAATATTTTAACTTAATAATATTTAAATGAATATTATGAAAAAATTAAGTATTGTGTATTCTTCAATGTTTCCWTTTATAAAATACAAAAAAGTTCTATCACTCATAGAACATAAAATATTGAATGTATAAGGTAAATATCTTATGTGATTTATATGATATTAATATCATTAATATCAATTTCTTGATAAATTTATATAATTTTAATATATAAATTATTACATTAGAGAGGTTAGGTTAAACTTGATTATGGCTGAAGGAAAGGAGGACTTTGATGTTAATGAAGTTTTTGAAAAATTATTATTTGCTGAAGATAAAGCACAAGAATCTGCTTATGCGGATGGATATCAAACTGGAAAAAATAGATTATTACAAGGATATCATTTAGGATATCATAGAGCAACTATAGTTGCTGCACAATTAGGTTATTATTGTGGTGTTTTAGAACAATATTTACAAAGTAATAATACGACTAATGAAAAAATAATATCATTAGCTAAAGAAATTTTAACTAATATTTATCATTTTCCTAAACACAACGATGATACTACTGATATTTTAAAAATATTGGATGATATTAAATATAAATATTTAAAATTTTGTTCCTTAGCTAAATTAAAACGTGGTGTACATCCARAAATGAACTTTCTTGATTTTTAAAATCAATTTTATWTTGGATTGTATTAAAAATTATTTTACAAGATGATTCATTATGAGGAACATTTTTCTAAAATAATCGATTTTTTGAATTTATATCAGCAATTAATTGATTGTCATTTAGTTGACTTTATCAGTCATAAATTGTGGGATAAATGTTTACCAGAATTATTAAAATTAGAATTGGAAAACATTGAAACGACTAACGATATTTGGAAAGAAAATGAAAACGTTAGTCGATTAAATGAATTTATACGAATGACTAAATCATTGTCTTTGCAATCATGTCCAATGATATTGAATTATAAAGATATTCCAGAATGTTTAAATTTAAATTTAAATCTGGATAATCAAGAATTGAATATTGAAACAAATAACAAAGATGTTGGATTTATGAGTGAAAAAAAATGTCACGAAGTGGAAACACTTGGTCGTGTAATTGGACAAATAGCAAAATCAACTGAAAGTTTGGTAATAGATGCAGGTGCTGGAAAAGCTTATTTGTCTGCATATTTATCGGATAATTACAAATTACCTGTACTTGCAATTGATTCGTCAGATCTTTGTCACAGAGGAGCCGTTCATCGAACAGAAAAAATGAAGAAAGTGGGAAAACAAAGTTCAACTTCGGTATTATTATAAAATACTTTATTTTCTTTTTTTTCTAATCATAAAAATAATTTCTAATTATTATTAATTTAATTATAATTAATAATATATTGTAAAAATAATTGTAGTGTTTGCATTCAATCTTTCGTTTGATTCATCTTCGGTATTATGATAAACAAAATATATACGTATATATATGAATTACTTTATTTTCTTTTTTTTTCTAATCATAAAAATAATTTCTAATTATTATTAATTTAATTATAATTAATAATATATTGTAAAAATAATTTTTTAATGTTTACATTCTCATCTTTCGTTTGTTTATTTTTCTTTTTTTTCTACAGGTTAAATATATAGTTGCAAAAATTGATGACAACACGGATTACAATAAAATGGTTCATTTAAATTTTCCAAATTGGAATTTAAATAATAATTTAATATTAACCGGACTGCATACGTGCGGATCTTTAGCTCATTCTATTATAAATGTCTTCCTGCATAATAGTCATTTTAAAATTATATGTTTTGTACCTTGTTGTTATCATTTAGTCAACGAATCGTTTAGCAAAAGAATAACATTTTCACGGAATGCCAGAATGTTGGCGCAACAGTGTATAGAAAGAACTAAAAAAACCAAATCTTTATCACCAACGTTGTTTTACAGAGCATTGTTACAAGTACTTTTACATTCTATGGGTAAAAATGTTCATCTATAATTAATATAATTAATTACAATTAAATTGTACGAGTACATGTATATATATAAATATGATATATATATATATATATCATATGTATATACATACACAATAACAATCAAACTCTGAGATATTTTGTATATGTATTTCAAATTATAAATGTTATCTAATTTTGTTGTATATTGTAATAAATATACAATTATTTTTTCAGGTATAGATAATGTTAAAATAGGACGTGGAGGACCATTAAATGATTTTCCAACTTATGCCAATTGGGCATTACTTAAAATTGGAGTTGATAGAAAAAAGGTAACAATTATTGAAGGAAAATCTATTCAATTTGCCATTATAACTAGTTGATATGTTTACAAATTTATAAAAATATATATTTTTTCCTTTTTTTTTTTTAGATACCATCAAATGAAATCTTAGAACAACTTTATCAATCTCATATAAATTTAAAGTTAAAATTGAACCTCTTTCAAATGTTGCGAATATATATCAGTCCAGTATTGGAAGCAGCAATTATATTAGATAGAATAGTATATTTGCAAAATAGCATGAGATGTTCAAAGTCTTTTATTTTACGATTGTTTAATCCTGTTTTATCGCCAAGACAATATGCAATAGTTTCTATCAGGTAAATTTTGATTAATTTCTTTTTACAAACATTTATCAAGATTAAATATTAATAAAGTTGATTGATGGATTAATTATTGTCTTCTACAAAAAAATACATGTACACAATTGAACTAATTGTATTTGATTTAAATCTCATTTTATTTACTTTATGAAAACAATTCATTTATTATTGTCATCATCATCATCACTATTGTCATCATCATCATCATCATCACCATCATCATCATCCTCCTTATTATTTTTATTTTCAACTGATTTCAAATAATCCATTACCGATGAATATCCTTCTCCTTGTACTGTAGGAACTAAAATTCCTGTTGGTCGTAAACCATTTTTTGATCTACATACACTACAATTACATAAACCTCGACAAGGAGGACAAGCCCATTTCTGAAAGAAAGAAATACAATAAGAACAAATAATTTCATTTGTTAAATTAAACATAATTATATTTAATTAAATAAAGAAATTGCATTTTAATTTATAACTTACGGGATCTTTCAAAGATGTTACCACATCTTCTCCGTATCTTCCTTGTAAACATGGCCCACAAAATTGACCCCTCTTACCAAAACATTCACCTGATCTACAAATTGTTTTTGTATCCATAGTTTTTTGTCTACATTGATGGCAACTGGTACCATAAATACTACTGTACTCTTTCGCTGTAGTACTTTTAGCAACATTGTCGATCATTTCCTGAGTTATTTCATCTGCGGATGGTATATTATTGATATTGTTTGGTCGTTTGGTTTTTTTGACACTTTTTTTCTTTCTTTTAGGTCTGTCGGGTGATAATAATAAATTATTATTATAATTGTATTCTTTATCTTCATCATCATCATCGGTTTTTCCTTCACTTTCTTTTTCTTCTTCTTCGTTTACTTCTGTTTTTGTTATATCGGCGATACCATTTTGAAAATGTTTAGCCCAAGGTAATACTTTTCTTAAATTAGGTTTTTTCTTTTTGACTAATTTCGTAGTTTCATTATTTTTGGAATCATCATCTGATGTATTATCACTATTTTCGGAATCATTTAATGTATTAATATTTTTACCAACTTTTGCTCTACTCCTTGTATTATATTCTTTGTGAAATTCCAAACGTGAACTACTCCTAAACGTATTATCCTTCTTATCGTTATGACTAACCCTCCTTCTTTTTTTTGGTGGTTCATTTTCATTAATATTATTTACTTTTTGGAAAGTCTCCTCTTCCTCTTTTATTTTATTTACATCGTTGAAAAATTTTGCAAACTATAATAATTGAAAAAAGGACACGTTTATTTATTTATTTTTTTTTAATTCATTTAATTATCAAAAATGATAATATATATTTGACAGCTATTAATTATATTCTAATAACATAAAGTTAAATGGCATTATTTAAATATATATATATATATATATATGTAAATAAAAAATGTGATAATATTTTATACAAAATAAGAAGAGATATTTCTTTTACTTACAATAGCATTTCTTTTAGCAATATTTTGTTCTCGTAGTGCATTATAATCACTCATATTTTGCATATAAATATTTACAATCACTAATTTATTTTAATTATACCTTTTAAGCAAAAAATATTACTTTACTGTTCCGTTATTTAAAAGAAACTTATTGCCAGAGATACCAATAAAATATCACTAAATTATCTAACAATATTATTCATTTTTATACTAGAAAATATTACTAGATGTTTTAAATACATAATCAAAATTGTCGTTAAGAAATTAAATAAAAATTACAAATTTAATTGAATTATTAATAAAAAATTAATATTTAACATCAATATCTGAATTAAATAATTATTAAATATATTATATACAAACTAAATAATTAATGACATTTGAATTTTGTGTAATTAAAGTATTGCTCATTCTCATTGGTCTATTCAAATGAAAACAGTCACGTAAATGCGCACGCATGTGAGCGCGCATCTGATATATTTTAAAATAAAAATCTACATACAGAATTAGCATTGTAATGAAAAAAATTGATAAGATATCAATTTAAAAAAGATGTAAAAAAATTGCATACGCGTGACGAAATATCACATTTTTATATTTTTATTTTTTTAAAGCACTCAATATATACCATACGCAATATTTTAACACATTGATACTCAATTTTAAATTGAAATATGAAATACATATGAAATAATAATTATTTATATTTAATATTTCAGAATACAAGAAAGAGATGGAGACGAATATAAAATTATAAATTCACTTTTGAACTATTATCTAAGAAAATTCGAAGGAGATGTTCTTATCTATATAAGGATATGTATCTTATCTGTATTAGGAGTGAACTACTATCGAAATTATATCAACGTTATAAATATTAGACACAGTTCCATTTCATCTCTTGAACGTGTACATCCACAACATTTAAGAAAAAGAAAAACGGTCATATTAGGAAGTATATACTTTAATTTAATTCAACTAAAAGACGTTTTTTTTTGTAGTGTATCCTTCACGTGAGTGATCTTTTACGAATTACGTTTTATATCCTTTTGAATACAAGTTATTTAAAAATATTAAAATATATTCTTACATAATTTTAAATTGTATTACTCTAATAATTGAAAGTAATCGAAAAAAAAACATTATATTATCCACTGTTAGTATATTTTTTGTAATATTTATTATTTAAACATTTTTAAATTGCAATATTTGAATTTGATTTAACAAAACTTCAATAATGAATTCTTTGGTCAAAATGGCATTTGGAAGTTTTCGTTTTTCGTCTGCATCCAATTTGTTGAAAATTCATAAACAAGTAAGTTATTATTTTCTTATAATAAAACAAAAAATGGGAGTGGGATATAATTTTATTATTTTTTTGTAGACATTGCAGTATTCAAAAAGTATTACATCTCAGCAAGTATTTGAACGTGAGTGGAAATATGGGGCACACAATTATGAACCTTTAAAAGCAGCCCTTTGTAAAGGTGAAGGAATTTATTTGTGGGATGTTGAAGGAAAAAGATATTACGACTTTTTAAGTGGATATTCGGCTGTTAATCAAGGCCATTGTCATCCAAGGATTTACAAAGCAATGATTGAACAAGCAAAAAAACTAACTCTCACTTCTAGAGCTTTTTACTCAGACGTTTTAGGTGAATTCGAGGAATACATTACCAAATTGTTCGGGTAAGTATTTTTATTCATCAAATAAATATATTGTATATTATATTGTATAAATGAATTATATAATTATTTGTTTACAGATATGATAAATGGTTGCCAATGAATACCGGAGTTGAAGGAGGAGAAACTGCATGTAAATTAGCACGACGATGGGGATACACAGTTAAAAAGATACCGCAATATCAAGCAAAAATTATTTTCGCGGAAGGTAATTTTTGGGGTAGAACAATGAGCGCATTATCTTCGAGTACTGACCCATCTAGTTATAGTGGGTTTGGTCCATTCATGCCGGGTTTTGAATTAGTACCTTACGATAATTTGGTTGCTCTTGAACAAGCATTTGCTGATCCTACCGTTTGTGCATTTATGGTTGAACCTATTCAAGGTGAAGCAGGAGTTGTAGTACCAAAGGTAAGAAATAAAATCAAAATTTTATTATTAAAGATTATGAATAATTTTGAATAACAAATTATTAATGAATGAAATGATGGATAGTTGAAAAAACACGATTTGGGTTCAACTAAACATTGAAAATGAATTTATTATTGATATCAGAAAAAGTAATTGTAATAATTGATAAAATTTGATATATATATCTTTATTCAAATATATTTTATTTTCAAGGACGGTTATCTGAAAGGTGTTAGAAAACTTTGTGATAAATACAACGTTTTATGGATAGCAGATGAAGTTCAAACAGGCTTAGGAAGAACAGGAAAACGATTGGCTGTCGATTACGAGAACGTAAAACCTGATCTAGTGATACTTGGAAAAGCATTATCGGGTGGATTCTTTCCTGTATCGGGTGTCTTAGCAAACGATCCTGTAATGTTGACTATAAAACCTGGGGAACATGGTTCAACTTTCGGTGGTAATCCTTTGGGTTGTAGAATAGCATTGGAAGCTTTGAAAGTACTCGAGGAAGAAAAATTAGCAGAAAATTCTGAAAAACTTGGTGAAATATTTAGATATGAACTTAGAAAACTTCCTAAAGATCTTGTCCCGGTGGTCAGAGGCAGAGGATTGTTTAATGCAATTGTAATTAATGAAAAAATCAATGCTATGGATATTTGTAAAAAATTAAAGGATGAGGGTATTTTAGCTAAACCAACACACGGTCATATCATTAGACTGGCACCACCTTTGGTTATCACTGAACCACAGATAAGAGAATGTTTAGATATTATGTCACGAACGATACTCAAATTTCAACAATAATTTATCTTCTTTTTTATTATTTTTATTTTTTAATAATAAGTCACACTTTTATTTTGAAATTATTTATATAAACGATCATACCACACATATGTAATTTGTAATATGGTTGAACAAAGTGAACTATTTCGTTTACTATTTGAATTATCTATTCTTACTAAACATATATCCTGTTATCAGCACCTATCAAAGATACAACAGAAGATAAATTTCCTACTTTCTCTCTTTTTATCTTTCTTTCTATCTGTTAAATATGTTAATACTTATCTCAATATATATTTAATCATAAGTGTCAACCTGATAATAACAAAATACTGATATAATTTAATAATTATGATCAATTGCAAAGAAATATATTTTTAAACGACGAATAATTAAATTCACACGTTTATACTTTCGCAAAATTGTAATTGACTCTTCTATTATCTTTAGAAAGACGTATATTTATCTTTTAAGTGCTTAATATACTTCGTTTTATTAATAACTCGTAAGAGAGATAAGACAACTTATTATGAAAGCTTTGTATTCTTGTAAGGATAATAAAAATATTGAAAAAATAAGAAGGAAAGAAAAGAGTGAAGAGGAGGGAGGGAGAAGGAAGATGATTATTATATTTAGATACGTAGAAAGAAACTTTGTTAAGTAATTTTAAACTCAATTGAATATATGAACAATTTTGTTTGTTTTTATTATGTTAATAGTATTTTTATATCAATAATTTTCTTTAATAATTATTCAAATTGTTTTATACGACAAACAAGTTGAATTATTACAAATATTTAAATGTAATTTTTACCTTGATTATTACAACCACTCAAAAATACCTTTAATTTGAGGGAATGACTGATAAGTGATAAGAAGATGTTAAATATTTGATTGTATGTACAAAGTCACAACAAGTTTATTATCATCTTGTTTGGTATCATATCTTTACTTTACATTAGTAGTAGGATTCGTTTTTTTTGTTTTTTTTTGAAAATCTCCAATATACAGGATGGCTCTGTAATAATTGTCATTTTGGATTTTTTATATAAACCAACATTTTTATTAATTATGTAGAATTTTTTTTTAAAGACGAATCGAATGCCTACAACAAATTATATTATCAAATTTTATTTAATATTTGTAGGATGATATTGAAAATTTTTAATCATTATTTTTAACATCAAATTGTTCCCAATTCAAAAATGAATTTAACTGTAATATGATGTACTTTAATTGACTTAACAAAATATTTATAAACAATTCATTGCAAAATGGTAATTCAAAGGAAAATGAAGTTAAAATACTGTTGAACATATTTATAAAGTTATTTTAATGATATTTTATTAAAACAAATGTTAATTTGTTTAATTATTATTTTAAACGACTTATAAAAATTTCATTTTATAATTTAAAACATATAATTTGTGTGTATTTATTGTTTTTTTTAAATGATCGATGGAAATTTTAGGACATATATATATAATAATACAAGTATTATTTGATGACATTGAAAGATTTAAAAACGTAAGATTATATTGTTTGGAGTTTACTTTAGACCACTGGCGCCTTCATAAAACAAAGGTTCCATTATCAGTTAGGCTTATAGTCCATTCTTTTCTTTTTTTTTTATGTAAATAAGTATATAGATCTATTTGTGATATGTTTATTATAAATCCTTCCCACCCTTCCATACTTTCCTTTTAAATTGCAAACAAGTAAACAAACAAGTTGTGTATAAAATGAGCTTCTTCTCCCCACCCAATAACATTTCATTCATATAAATAATGGAACAATCTCGCTACATTTCTAGTTGATATCTTACAGATTCTTCTCATTATTATTTTCATTAATAATATATACACTCTCTCCCCTCTTTTGATCTTTTACAGTGAAGTGATTAATTAAAAAAAATAACAATTTCATTTTATAGTACCTGTGTTATTTCAAATTGTTATTCATTTGTACAAAAAAAAAACTTAAACACAAGTAAATAAATAAAAACAAATATAAAATGCAATCTTTAAGGCAAAGGGTTTTTACTGCAATAACGAAGAAGAAATACGATCAAGAAAGAAGATTTTTGAGTAGCAAGGAAATAATTGAACGAGACGACAAATATGCAGCAAAACATTTCAAACCACTTCCCGTTGTACTCACCAAAGGAGAAGGTGTTTATTTATGGGACAACGATGGGAAACGTTATCTCGATTTTTTAGCAGGTTTCGCAACGGTCAATCAAGGACATTGTCATCCACGTTTAGTCAAAGTTATGAATGAACAAGCTGCAAAATTAACTCACACTTCAAGAGCTTTTTATACAGAGCCTCATGGAGAATTAGGAGAATATTTAACAAAATTAATTGGCTATGATAAATTCATACCTATGAATACAGGTAATAATAATTCCAGATTGTTTTAATAATTATAAACAATTATTTTAGATGATTTTTGAAGTGTTTATATGTGATCTTTAATTGTATGTAAATATTTATAGGAGTTGAAGGTGGTGATACGGCAATTAAACTTGCAAGACGATGGGGATACAGAGTAAAAAAAGTCCCTAATCAAAAAGGAACTATTGTCTTTGCAAAAGGTAATTTTTGGGGTCGATCATTAGCAGCATTGTCAGCATCAACTGATCCCAATTGTTTCAATGATTTTGGACCTTACATGCCATTATTTGACAAAGTACCGTACAACGATTTAACAGCATTAGAAAACAAATTTAAAGAAGATCCAAATGTTGTTGGTTTCATGATGGAACCAATTCAAGGAGAAGCTGGTGTCGTTATACCTCACGTATGTCAATGTTATTATTCTTATTTTTTTAAACATTATGTCAAATCAATTTTGAATTATTTGATAATCAAATATTTTGGACAAACTTTATTCTGGAATATTTGACCATTTGTTTTTTGTACAGGATGGATACTTACAAGGTGTTAGAGACTTGTGTACGAAATACAACGTTTTATGGATTGCTGATGAAGTACAAACCGGATTGTGCAGAACTGGAAAACGTATGGCGGTAGATCACGAAAATCAAAAACCAGATATTATGATTCTAGGTAAAGCCCTTTCTGGTGGAATGTATCCAGTTTCTGGTGTTCTAGCAAACGATGAGGTAAATCTATGAAAACAATGAAACGTACGATAATGAATTAATATCAAGATATGAATTTAATATCAATAATAAATATTATTATAGGTAATGATGTGTTTTGAAGCTGGTTGTCATGGTAGTACTTTTGGTGGTAGTCCTTTAGGTAACAAAGTAGCATTGGAAGCAGTGAAAATTTTGGAAGAAGAAAATCTTGCGGAAAATGCTCAAAAATTAGGCGAAATATTGAAAAATGAATTAAACAAATTACCGAAAGATATTGCTGTGGAATTTAGAGGACGTGGCTTGTTAGCTGGTCTTCTTATCAATAAAGGTATTTCTTCTTATCTTTTAATATCTGAAATTATATATGAAAATTATGAGAAAAGGTGAAGAGTAAAAGATAAAGTTGTCTACTTTATATTGAAAACATACCATTTTATAAATGAATACATCATTTATGTGTTTGTTCATAGACATGGCACAGGGTTGGGATATTTGCTTGAAATTACGTGACGCAGGTTTATTAACAAGACCTGCGCATGGTCAGATTATAAGAATATCACCACCGTTGACCATTACACAGAGTCAACTCGAAGAAGGTTTACATATTCTTACGACAACGCTAAAAAGTTTTTAATAGAGACTGTTTAATTCAAATAAAATTAATATAATTTGATTAATAAGAAATATAGTTACCCTAAAATTGAACATTTTTTTACGGCCATTTTATATAACTTGAATAATATATATATATGAATCCGTTCGTTGTACGAAGATATTTTATTATTTGTATACTTTAATAAGAATGATATTATTGTAATATTATAGATATACTTTATATAAATAATTTCTTTTTACAATACACAATTAAATGTGAGTATCACTATGTCTCTTCATATGTCTCGTTAAACTGAAAGCTTGTGAAAACATTTGATTGCATTGTTCGCATTTGTACGTTTTAGTTCCTGTATGTAAATTCAAATGTCTTTTCAAGTGATTAGCTAATTTAAAACGTTTACCACATAATCGACATTGATGTTGTCTCAAAGAAACGTGTGAAACTTCGTGATTTTTAAGATGACTCGATTGAGAAAATGTTTTTCCACATAATTTACACTCATATGGTTTTATCTTGGTATGAATTCTCAAGTGTTCCACCAAATTACCTTTTTGCGTGAAACATTTGTTACAATATTCACATTTGTGCATCTTTATTGATTTATGCGTTTGCATATGTACTTTTAAATTATAGTTTTGACTAAAACGTTTATCACATATCTCACATTGAATAAGATCTTTTCCTGTATGCAGTTTTTCATGAGCTTTTAAATTTTTGATCAATCTAAATCGTTTCTTGCAAGTGTTACATTGAAATCCTTCGAGTTGTAATACTTTTTTCGAATCATTATTATACATCTTGTTATGAGTTTTCATATGTTCTTCGAGATAAGACGGATATGTAAATACTTTGTTACACAATTTGCATAAATGTACATTCTTTTTAGTATGAAGTCTCATATGTGCGTTCAATTTACTTTTAGAAGCATAAGCTTTTTCACAACTGTGACACTTGTATGGTTTTTGATCGCTATGAGATACCTGATGTGCCAATAATTTAGATTTTTGACTGAATATTTTAGTACACAATTTACATTTGTATTTTTTTAAATTTGAATCAGACAATTCCTTTGAATCAAGTTTTTCCTTATAATCAGAATCGGATGAACAAGATTGATAATTATTTAAGATATGTCTTTCTGTTTCGATATTCTGTGTTTTAGCATATTGTAGATTATGCAAATTCGTTACATCATTTTCTGAATGCATTATATTCTGAACACGTTGCGTATCATTTTCTCGAACATCACCGAGTTGCATATTATCTGGAAAGTTTAAATTTTGCATTTGATTATTATTCACGTTTGGTCTTTGGTAAGATAAATTTTCAACGGAATTGTCAACAGAATTGATGGATCTTTCGTAGCTCAAATTTTGTGGCAATTGATTAGAATTCTCGCAAATGTCAATATTATCGTTGTCACAGGATATATCAATATTTTCTGTAGTATGTGCTATATTATGGCAAATCAATTGCGTTCTATTAGTAAATGTATGATTACAAAGAGAACAATGTAAAGCACAAGCTGCTCTGCTAGAACCGTCCTCGTTCATCGACATCATATGCATTACGTTAGATGTAATTAACGGTGATAATTGTGTATTCTGTATACCATCGTTAGAAATATTAGGATTTAAATGACTGAAATTAAGATACGTATTTTGAGATTCTATGATGTGCATATGTTCAACGGGAATATTTTCTTGCACAAAAGGTAAATGCAATCTACTATGAGCGCATAATTCTTGATAGCTCATAAAAACAGCTCCACATTCTATGCACTTTAAAGTTTTATGAGAATTTTGTACTGGCATAAAACCTTGACTCTGTTGATACAATTTGCAACCAGATACAGTAGCGTATGAAGTTAAACCAGAAACCTAATTAGATAAAACAAAAACATATATGATTTTTATTATATTATAAATAAATAAATTAGAAAGTATAATAATAATAATAATACTTTTAAAGCAGCTTGTCTTAAAGCTCTATCAGCTGCTCTACATTGTTCTCGATACAAAAGTGCAGATTCTGCTCTGGTAACGCATCTGTCACACATTTTTTCTGGTAATCCGTCACCCTGCCAAACCTATACAAAATAAAATACAAAATATAGAAATAACAATATGTAAAATATGTAAATTGTTAGATTATATTGATTTACTTCTAAACAGGATAAAGATCTGAGTTTGGCAGCAAGTGAAGAACCTGCTGGTCCGACGAACAAACAAACCATTTTATCACCGTCCTCACGCAAACACGTACGACACAGTTTGCTAATATTTTCTCCATCAATTTCTTTAGTTACTATAAACATCTTTGATATTATTTATAAATAAAACAATATCACGATCAAAATAAACGTCAATTGTCAACTAATTTGAGGTTATGCCGCCATAATTGTTTTGAAAATTGTACACAGTTATGAAAAAAAGTCGACAGATGACAGGACAATCGTGACACATAGAAACTAAATTATAACCTTAAAATCGTGATTACATGTAAACGTGGTTTAACAATAATGTGAATTAGGGATCTTGTAAAAGTAAGCCAAATGTAACGTATCGAAGTTCCTACGTCTTCTCTGTGTGTTTTTTTGTTGGCAATCAACAATATCGATGTTAATTTTTTTAAAGAATCTCTATTGTTTATTGTAAATTGAAATGAAATAATGATACGTTAAATTAGGTTATAAAAAGTAACAGGATACGATTAATAATTGTTTTGTTAAATAAGTTTACGTTTCTTCTTCATTGATAAAAGTGAATTGATAACAGTAAAATGCCAGTCCTTATATATTTTTAACTTTGTGATTGAAATAGAATATGTCAGAACGAAAGTTGGAAGTTATTGATAACGTGGAAAAACAATATCGCGATGAAACGTGTAATATTCAATACGATATCATTGACTTGTCAAACTTTGATTTTAGCGACAATGATAGATGGTAAGAAATATTTCATTATATTTCATTGTAGTTGTCAAAAATTATTTTTTTTTTTACATTCACGTTTATTTTCTCTTAACGTGTTATATTGTAATGAAACGTTCTCTTAAAATAATGTCCTTTTTTTTTTTAGAAATTTATTTATATTCTACGTTTCATATTTTAACACAAAAAACGTATGTTAACAGTTGTTTATAAAAATGTCAAACACATTTGTATTATTTCAGGTTATACGAACCTGTGGAGTGCTCGTCAGAGACTACAGTGCATGACTTACACGCCTGGTTGAGGAATTCCTCAGAAATAAGTTCTCAAAATACACCTCCCGGTAATTCCTTTTTTACCATCTCATTTTTTTTCAGTTTCATTCGTCGTTATTTATAATTCATTATATTTGGCATTAGCTACCAAAAGGTTTACGGATACGAGAACATTTACAAGGCCTAAAAAACGGAATACTAGAACGAGTTTTGAATCTATCATGGAAGCTTTACCTCCTTATTTACAACAAGCATGTAAAATTAGGGACAAGGAATTTCATAATTTTTATCAAAGCGTAAGTTAAATATAAATTAATACTTTAATCGCGTTAAAGATTCAATCATAATTTTTATATACTATTTAAAATATTGATTATTTTGAATATGCAGGCAAATAAAACTAATGATAAGAAAGAAGGTATACCATTTATGTTAAAAGGAACAATGGGAGGTAATCGTTACAATCCTGATGATGTTTTAATAACATCAGGACAAGAAAGTATGGAAGCTTTTATAAATATGTCACAATCCAAAGGAATTGATTCATTTATAAATTTAGGAGAACCAGATTTTGGTGATACATTAATGAATGTTTCCCATCCATCTGTTTTATATTCATCAATCATATCAATGAATAATGATAATACATATAACACTGACTATGACAGTAATACCACATTAGAAACTTTATCGTATCCGACAATGGATAAATGTCAATTTATCAAAGTTAGAACCCCAAAGGTCAATTTGGAAACAACATTTGTATCAAAATTCAATGATAAGACTATAGTAAAGAATAAAGATAAAAGTAGAATGTCTATAAATAATACGTTTATTAACGAGCCAACAAATATTGAAAAAATGAATCTTAAGGATACTTGTAATATAGATATTGATAATGATACATCATCCACTTTGGTAAATTCAAAGATAGAAAATGCTTTGTCTTCCACTTATACAAATCTAAGCGATCTTAATGTTACAGTAATTAAATCGGATAGTAATGAAGCTAGAAATTCACTAGATACTACATATCAATGTGTTGATGTGAAAGAAGAAAAGAATGTTGCACCCGTAATGAACGTTACAAATACATTTGACACTTATAAACAAAATATTCATGTTGGTTCTAACGTGGAAGAAACTACCACGCAATGTTCTGACAGTATAATATTACCTGTGCAAAGTAATTGTATAGATTCAATACCACAATTACCTGTTTCGTATTCTAATCATTCATCTAAACAAGAAAATCTATTAAATTCAACATTCACAAGTATGAATAAGAATATGAATCAATATCAATCGACGTGTATGAATCCACCTGAAGAAATTCCTTCTTTAAGAAGAGAATTATTAACGGAGATACAACGTAGTGGAAAATACAAATTACATTCTGTCTACAATAATATTCCTGATGAATCTTGTACTCAATCGAAAACTAATGAAAATATTAACGTTACATATGATTCGAATATTATACAGAAAAGTAATATTCCTATAGAAAATAAATACAATACTTACAGAAAGCAACCATCGAAGGAACAATTTAATAGTAAAAATGAATTATCCGATTGTAATGTAGTAACAACGTGTACACAAAAAGATACACAAAATCGTAAGTTTTATACTTTTACCAAAAAAACTGCTAACATCAATGGAAAGAGTAATATTGAAACTGCTGCTGTAGAACAGCAACAACAGCAACAACAATCTTTACCGCCTAGTAACATAGATGAGACATTTTGTAAACCAATTTCCAAGGCACCTAAGAAAAAATTACACGCGCCTAAAAAATTATCAAAACTACCACAATTCTTACAAAATTCTAATCCTAATTTATTATCGAATCCGATTAAAACTATCAATGCTACTACTCGTTATTCGTATATACCTAATGTCAGACGTACATGCATTAATACAATGGAAAGTATAACCAAACCGATGACTACCAAATCATATTCATTGGGTAAATTAAGAAGTGGCTCGGAACAGAGATTGCCACATGTTGATATAAACACTACATTTCAAAAACCAAATTCTGGAGGTTCTACTGAAAGTATAGATAGTACTCAAAGTGCTCATAGTGCTCCTGATTTAGATGATAGACTTAGTATGTGTTCTGACAGTAGTCATAATTCATACAATGTATGTACAACGAATATGGAACAATTATCTCAAATTGTATATATGCAAGAAGGTAAATATATTTAAACTATATAATCAATATAAACAATTAAAAACAAAAAGAAACTAATTAGTAACAATTGTTTCATTTAAATTAGGTACTAAAAATCTAGCAACATGTACACCAAAGAAACAAATTTTACGTAATAATTGGATCGATGATACAAAAGATTTACCTTCACCAATTTTAAAAAATCATGTTGAGGAAACCGAAAATAATTCTATTTCACCGCTTAGTATAGATTCAACAGTTAAGACTAGCTCTCCTATATTAAGTCCAACTGGATCTAGTCAAGCAATAAACAACAATGAAGTACATAAAATTTCGAGTAAGTAAAACACATTATATACTAAAATATAATTTAACAATGTAAAGAATAATTCAATAATAATTTTGTCTATCATCATTTAAGGTCATTTGGAAGAGAAAGAACAAGAGAATGCAGTTGGTCTTGTGAAACAGGTAAATTATAATATTAAGTGAACTGGAAAGTAATATCGCTTTCTAACCTTAAATTCAAACGAATATATTTTGTTCCAATAAATTTTTATTTTTAATCAATAATGTGATTGATAATAAATAATTTAACCATTTCTCTTCGGCAGTCCAATCCGCCGAAGTGTCGTGCGGATGCCGTATATATCCGGCGCTCGTACGCACAAGACATTGCACGGATGCCGGATATATACGGCACTCGAAGCGAAAAGGGTTAATTAATCAAATTATTGATTATCTATATTAATAATAATTTTTGTACGATATTTCAGACAACAAATAGATTACCTAATACGACAGAAATAAAAACTAAGCTTCGACCACCGAGTAATTGGAATACTGGAAATAAAATAGCCGGTGTAACCAGTGGTATACCCAGACCGCAATCTCGCATACCAGCTCCTAGATTTGTAAGGCCAAACGTTAAAACTACTACCGCTACTCAAGGTGATTTAAAAAAAGGTTATTTGTGAAATTAAATATGAATTAAAAAGGAATTGCAATGATATATTTGCAATGATATTGCAAAATATATATGAACGTAAACATTTTTTCATTTTGAAAAGAAGAAAAGGAATTATTTACTGCGATCATTCGTGCACAAAATAATATTTGAAAAAAAAAAAAAATGAAAAAAAAAATTTTTTTCCATTAAAAATAAATAAATAATTTATAATTAACAAGTTCAGTATTATTGAGCTTTCTAGGAGAGGTTAGGTGGTTCCTGTTCAATCTTTATATACATACATATATATATATATATATATATATATAACACATATCATCAATATGTAATTAAATTTGTGTTTAATTGGTATTTTTCAACAAGATTTTATATGCGTATATATTATATATGTATATTCATTCGCAGAAGTGTTATATATATATTATATATTTGCTATTAGGAAATAGTAAGATAATTTTTTATACAAATATTTACAAAATACAATAAACAGTCTAAAATAATAATAATAATAACATTAATACTAATATTATTAATAATAATAATAATAATAATAATAATAATAGTAATACTAATATAAATAATAATGACAAAAGTAACAAAAAAAAAATATTAATTACCATTTATGCTTTCTTTATTTTTATATGTTTTTTTTTATTAGAACAATTCATGCTATATATATATATATATCATTTATGCTATTGTGTTATATGGTGAATATTGCTTTTGTGTTTCCTTTTTATTTTATTTTATTTTATTATTTTTTTTTTTAATAATTAAATCTTGCTACTTGTAAATTACCTCATAAGTTTCTTTAAGATAATATATAAATATATATACATATTTCTTTAATATTAAATAATCTTATGGTTGAATATATTATAGTTTCCAAAAATAATATTATGAAATTATAAATATATATATATATATTATTACTGTTGCCAAAAAAAAAATTAATTCGAAGAAAGAAAAGAAAACAAATGAACGTTTAAGTGTTTTCTCTCTTAATCGTCAGGATTTGTTAATAATTATCTGAATTTTGTTTCATATATATGTATACATACCGTAAAAATAATTATTCAATTTTATTATATTATGACTTATTGTTTGTTTACTAAATATATATATATTTTTTTTTATTTTTTTATTATTAATTTTAATTTCTATCTTTTCAAAACAAATGTTCTGTTAAATATGGCGGGAACTTTTTGGATAAAGGATTACACTATTCTAATAATTAATGGAATCTATTAAAAATTACTATTTTAACAAAACACACACACACAAGAAATATTTTAAGAGAGAAAGTAATATATTTTTCAATATCCGTCCCTATAAAATCATTTTTTTTATTTTTTCAATAAATATGCATAAACATTGTATATGTGTGATCCTTTATCCAATGAAAATTGAAAAAAAAATAAGAAAATAAGTAAAAACATTCTTTTACAATATAGCATAAAATATAAGCGAAAAAAATATATATAAATTAAAAATAATTCATATCACTTGTCAAGAGTACGATTTGTATACTTTGATTAATTAAATAACGCATATAAAAGTAGGAGCGCTTTTTAAAAATTTGAAAAATTAACCTTAAAAAATTAAAATTAAAAAATCCTTAAAAAATAAAAAACAAAAAGAGAAAACCAAATGAAATTAAAATAAGAATTTGTTAAATTTTTCTTTATATTTCGATTATTCATTAATTTTCTGTGCGCGTGTATGCGTGTCCTATTAAATAATACATTTATATACATAATTATATATATATATATTTTTTTTATTAAAAATTTCCTATGCTTTGAAACTCATACATTTTAACAATAATAAAAAAAATTAGAAAACTAGTGACTGAATATCAACTAAAACTAGACCTTAAGTGCCTTGATTATATTATTGTATTAATAAAACATTTGTTATATATATACTTATAATATGATATGATTTGATATGATATATGATATGATATGGTATGATATGATATGATATGATATGATATATGATATGACATGATAATCAAGTAATAATTTGTCATATCTTTTACTGCCTTTTTTAAATAATGCTATAAGCAATCTCGCACTATAATGTGTTTTTTTTTTTTTTTTTTTTAATATATAATTTGTGATAATAAATACTGTATATATACATTATTCAAAACCGTTATTCTATTATTATTATTGTTATTACTATTATTATGATGCGATAAATTTATAATGTTTATGATAACAATTATCAGAAAGTAATATTTTTTTCTTTTTATTAGAATTATTATTTCTCTTTTTTGTTTTTTTTTTTTAAATTAATTTTCTTTCTTGACATATGCAGTGACGACCATTATTATTCTTTATAACGGACAGTAATAAATATTTTTATTTTTTTACATAAATTTTTACACCTAAATTTATAATTTATCATACATTAAATAATAATTTCAAATAAAACTCTTCTTCGTTTCTTTTTTTTTTTTTTGCAATTAGAATTAGGTTATAAAAAAAAAACAAGTAATAAATATAATTATTAGAGAATAAAATAATTAATTTTGGATAAAACAATTTGTGTGTGTCTGTGTGTACGTGTATTATGTTTTATATCATGTTATATACTAAACGTTTGAATAACTCAAATAACATTTTGCTTTTTTTTTTTTATCATGATACAACAAATTTATACTTATAGCAAATATTTGTTTATTTATATCTCTCTCATCTATGTTTAAATTATTAAAAACTCATTTTTGGCCTTAATTAATGATGATACAAAAAGACTTTGTTTGTTAATGTAAAAAAGGTAATTACAAAAAATGATTTTCTTATTATTTTTCTTTCTTTTGTAGTTTATATATATATAAAATGACATTTCTAGATAATATGATGATATACAATTCGCAGACTATAATTATTATTCTTAACGTATGATATATATAATATATATATATATATAATATAATCATATCATAATAATTCGGTATAATTGTTTGATTTCATTTTAATATATAATACTGTTAGTTATTATTGCAAAATATATTTTAACACGCTTGACTTTAATATACAAACATATATGTATGTATATATATGTATGTATATATATTTTAATATTTTTTTTTTCATACGTGATTATTAGAATACAAATTGCTTCCAGTTTTTCATCATATGTTGTGTATTTGAGTTTTACTTAGCAAAGTTTATATAATTCATAATGATAAGCATATGATAATGGAGAGATTATTTTTATATATTATCTTTTCGCAATGAATTCATTTTTAGAAATATGCATCACTCACATCGAATAATAAATATTTGATATTAATAATAATATGATAGATCATTATCACTCGATCAGCTAGATTTGTGTTTCAATTGTTATACCGTGTGTATAATCTTTAATACAAATTGTATGTGTGTGTTTTTTAACTAATTTGTTTTTTATATTATATATATATGTATGCAAGTATATGTAATATATTGAACATGAAGGCACAATATCAAATCATTTAAATAATCACACAATCACTGTATTATTCATTCTAATATACAGTACAGCATAAAGATCCGTTTATTATACTTTGTTAAACAAATTATTAATAGATAATACTTTGAAATATAAATAAACATTATTATGAATGATTCAAATGTTTGATTGAAAATATTTAATGATATATTTAAATACTATCATGTATTATTGTCCAAATTTAACGTAAAAATGTATTTTATCAAATTTTATCGAGCAAGGAAGTAAATGTTTATCAAAATTTTACATCTCGGTATATCAACTAACTTGTTTCTATTAATTATGTATCTATATATATGTTTTTTTTTGTTTTTGTTTTTTTTCATATAAATGTGGAGTATAACTGTACTGTATTTTAGTTTCTTAACAATTGCATAATAAACGTATTTTATACATTCTCTTTAACATCAACACTCTGTGTGCAATACTATTTCGTATCGAAAGTAAGAAACAAATGCAAATGAAAAACTTATGTGTATTCATTAAATTAAAATATATATTAATTAAAATAATTAAAATAATTAAATATTAAATATTAGATTAAATAATTGTTAATTATTTTTTCTTGTTTTCTTTTTTTTCTTTTTTTATACAGATCGTACTTCAGGTACACATTAAAAGTCATAATTAAAAAGTTAACGTTAATAATTAAAATATACTACTGTGCATTCATTTACAAAGCTAATTCAATTGTGTGAATTGTTTTTTAGTTTTTTCTTAAGTTTTGAATAACTTTTAGTATTCGTGTGATACATGTGATTATTATTATTATTATAAATTATGTGTGTTATACACTCATTTAAAAAAAAAAAAAAAAAAAAAGAAAAGTAAATTTATTTAAACTAATCAGAGGCAGTAGTAAAAGTATTTGAACTGTTGTTTGTTTGTTTTTTCTCCTATTACAATATTAATAATCTTTATAAAAGATTAACACGTTCCGTGTCACGTGTACCACCGGTGATACACGTTAAACTTGTTCTTCAGGCCACGTGTACCACCAGTGATACACGTGGCACGGAACGTGTTAAGAATTTAACTATAATATGAAAGAGAGATAGAGAGAGTAACACGTTTGATATTTTTATCTCTAAATATCAGTATATTAATTAATTCTAACTTAAATGCAAAGAAGAACGTTTCAATAAATTTCTTTTATATGATTATTCAAAGAAAAGAACTATATTTTATATACTGTGTATATATATATAGATAGAAAAGCTTGAACACACAGTTTCTAGTACATTTTATCATTCTTTCTTTTTTTTTCTTCTTCTTCTTCGTTAAGTCTTCTTCTTTTATTTGTTTGTTTGTTTTTTTTAATTATAGATATATAAAACAACTCTTATATACGGTGAATATTTATCAAGTTAGCACCGAAATATGTTTTTTTTTTCTTTTTAATTTTGATTGTCTATTTATATAAACTTTTTGTCTTAGATATAGACAGCAACATAATTGTTAGATATATATTTATATTATATATATATAAAGTGTCCTAAGGATTTTTCAGCCAAACAATGTCAGCGTATTCTATCACAACGAAAATAAGAAAATAATATTAACAACTTAGGTCATTTGAAGTTTTACAAATTGATGATACAAATTATAAATTATTTTCATTTCTTGTTTGATCAACCTAATTGTTTTACTTTGCAAATACAAATCTGATACACCATTGTAAGATAAAACAAATCTGTTGATTTTTCTTCTTACTATTCGTATATGGAATACACTGAAGTCGTTTAGTAAAACCTCAGACACCCTGTATGTATACTGATCACAATTGAATCATTGAATTAAGGCATAACTTGATTTTCATTCTCTCATTATATTATTTGTTCTATTAGAACAATTTCTTTTTTTATCATTCTTCTTCTTCTTTTTTTATCATTCATGCTTTTTTTCCAAGTATAGTCACGTAGTTTATCACTATAAAAAAAAAAATACCATTTCAAATGTGTACCAAAAACATCTTTCATTTGAATACACCAAATTCTTATCATTTGTTCGTTTTCTTTCCTTATTTTCTCGCTTCGATTATAAATATTATATATGAAATATAAACAAAGCCAATTTATTGCTTTTTATATTACGCAAAGCTCTTAAAAAGGTTTCCCTTTTCGTGACTTTGTTATATTTATAACTTTGGTTCGAATTATTAAATAATCTCTCTTTAGATTTGTCAAATAGATATATCATTCTTTTACTCGCATGCTAGTTTACTATCGAAACTACTCAAAGCGATAGCAAAAGCTTGAAGTGTACAAAGTGGGAACCTATAATCCATTGTAAAGACATCTTCGGCAATACGTCCAAATTGCATAACAACATAGTCCACTAGAAAATAAAAATACATTACAAATATATCAAAGATATCCAATATAAACAATAGAATAAATAATAATTTATTGAAACTAACCATCACTATCATGTACAACTTGAAAATTTTTAACGGATGCTTGTGTAACACGACCATGAAAATTTAACACGTATGATTGCGTATCATCGTTCCATACAGGAGTTTTGTTATGTAATTCTATTAAATTGTCCATATTTTTCATTTTCCAACGTTCTGTAATAACATTAATATTTTATCAATTATATCTTTTTAAATAACTTATCAAAGATTCTTGTATAATAAAATATAATTGATTGCATACCGAGTAATGTTTCGGTTTCATCACGTGGACAAATTTCAACTCGTTTTTGATCAGGTGTCATTCCAGGTATAATAACAGTCATTTTTCGTGGACCTTTAAATCCTAAGACATTAGTGTCATAAACTACTGCAGCTAATTCTTGTCGTGGATTAAAACGTTCATCTCTCTTGCAATCTTTCATTAATGAATATCCATTATCGTAAACGGTAAATTGTGTACCAAGAAGATTAGATCTTAATTTTCCTATGTAAGATTCACCACCTCTCGAAAGATCTGTGGGATCCGTTGAAATTAAATAATTACTTGTCGTACTTTTCTTCCTCTTACGTCCAGCCAATAAAAATACCTACAATTAATGTTTAAATAAGTCAAACAAATTTCAATTAATTTCAATAGATATTAAAAATGTACCAACCTTTTTTCCATAATCACGTTCAAGATGTAAAAAATATGTTGGATATAAACCACGATCCATACCTTTTTTATCACGTGTTATGCGACATTTGTAATGCATTTTTTTATTTGCTGGTTGCAATACAAATTGTTCTACATTTCCTTCTACATTGCCTTCTAATTCTGGACTCTGAATTCAAGAAATAATTAATTAATTATTATATAAAGCCTATATAAAAGGATAATATTATATATAAATGAAAACTTATCGAATTAGATTTTAATAATTAATTATCGATATACATACAGTAGAATGATTGTCTCTACTGATAAATGTACGAGTTACTTCTGAAGGTGCTATTTTAAGAGGTGAAGTACATGGCAGAGATTCAGATGGAGAATGCAATTCTATCAAAGATGATTCTTCATCAGCGCACTCTTTAGCTTCTGTACCTTCATAAAATGCTATTTCGGAACTTGCTTCTAAAAAATATATATCGTTATTTCAAAACTGTATAAATAGGATATATCAATATAATACATTATTACAAATGTTACCACTGATTTCTGTTTCTATCGGTTTGTTTTCTGAAAACGTTCCAATATCTGGATTTGCTTGCGACATTGTAAAATGTAAAGGTCCATCGTATCCTAAAACAAAATTAAAGTTCAATGTATACTTGTCATCGAATGAAATCAAAATGATGTTTACAATGATTCTAAATACCAATTTTACCATGTAGTTCTTTATTAGGATTAATCCATTTCATGTTGTGACTTGTAAGTTGCGTCGTGGATATATTTGATGCTTGGACCATACCACCAGCACCAGTTTGTCTTTTTTGTTTCATTTTTTGTGCAATTAATAATCTCTAGAATAAAAGATATTATTTATTAATAATCATTATGTTATCAAAATATATATATATATATATATATATAT